GAGGTCCAGGAGGGCTATGTGACTGGAGTTTAAAGTGCATTAGAAGGAATTTGGTCTGTCTTTTCCTAGCAGAGGATTTTCACTGGTCTATAAAAAGCCAGCAGCGCTTAGACAGCTATTGAAACCAATTCAGGGCAGTTTTTAAAAAACAGCAATTGCTGTCAGAGCCTGTTTTTGTGAGGGGAAAAAAAAAAAAAGTTACTATAAGCATCAAAGCAGTTGAAATCTCGTGTGCATTCCACAGAATTAGCAATGATTGGGGAGCACAATATTGTGTTTGGAAATAAGAAATATAGCATGGTTTGATTAAAAAAAAATCACAGCACTTTCTTATGTGAAGATGAAATGATTTAATCTTTTCGGAGTTATTTGCCTGGTTTTCATATAAGAATGTTTTAGCAAACTATTTTAATCACTCATCTGATCAAAACCCACCATTCCACTCCTCATTCTCCTGTCCACATCCACTCTACATTCCCCTTCATCCAGCTGATGGATTTGTAGGCTATTCAGTGCTCTTGGAAATGCAATCTCTGCTGCTACTGATGTGAAACTTTTAGGATATGACCTAATCCAACTGTGGGTGGCAGACTTAATGGAGAAGGTAAAAGTGGCAGTGCTAAGTGGCTTCCTAGGAAACTATAAAGGTGTCAAGGTGTCCCCAACAGCCAAATGTGCCTTCCAGGATGGGAGAAAGCTCTGTTTGATTCCTTGCTGCGCTCTCATTTGGTAACCTTGGGTGTGTCACCTGGGGAGCTGAGGCATGGGGATACTATCTGCCAAACAAGGGAAAGTGTGTCCCTGTCTCATGCATTAGCATCACTGCTTTACATCTGCCAGTTCCCTTGTTAGAACACTGGGGACTAGAAACATGCAGACAGAAAGGAGGACAAACACCACAGATGAGAGGAAAGGAGACCCTGTAAGTGGGGCACAAGACTTGAAAATGAAAGAAATGGTCTGCCAGCTCTGCGACAGGCAGAGCAAGCTTGGCACAAGAAGATGAGAGGGAGAATGAGCCTGTCAGCTGAGAGGGAATGAGAGCTGACCTGGCAGCCAACAGAGAACAAGGGCAGGAGACCTGCAGATGTAGGAAGCTGCAGGGAAGGGAACTGCCCAGCTGCCTGCCAAATAACACTGCAGAGAGAAACAACCCCAGGTGATCTGTCTGTTTGAGTGTCTGAGATCATTTGTATTTTTATTCATTCCAGGGGGCTGGAATTTATGGAGTTCATAAGGACAGGGTAGTTATAGTGACTCCATTCTCCAGGATGCCTCCTAGAGAAGCTTCTTTTTGAAAAAAAGAATCAAACTGTTTCCTAAAAGTGCTTCTGAAAAACTCTCAAATAATATTTTTTCCTCCCAGCTTCCCTCTTCACTCTCAGCAAACCACCTCTTTGTATTTCTGGTTTCTGTCTTCCGTATCATGGAAATTCTAAGCAATAAAGCTGCAACCTTATCAAATGCATGAAATAGGAAGTAAAGTGCACAAATACGTTCTCTTAACCCAAATAACACACAGATGGAGGATTTCTGCTTAAAAACCCCATACAGAACAGACTCGAGCCAATGAATTGCTAATCCAAAGCAAAGTACTGTTCGTTTTCAGATGTGTTTTCTAAAATGTTGCAAACAGAGCCTGAAGGAGTTATAACTCATGAAGAAGTACCTGACACAAATACTTGCTGTTTGGGTTTTTTAATAACTAAGCACACTTTGCTTTTTTTCTGATCTTGATTTAATTTGCCTCAGATTTGATATAAATGATTTGAACTTGTTTATAGCTAGCAAAAGTGTCAGAACTGATACATTAGTTGGAAAAAACCCTATGTTTTCTCCAGTAGTAATGGGGTTTTATTGTTATTATTTTTCAATTTTTCAGAATGTGTAGCAAGAACCAGCGGTATTTGGTGTTAGCAGCATGGTGAGGCAATCAGAACAGAAATGGTGTCTTTCTTGCTTAAAGGTTCCCAGGAGAAATATTAGGAGAAAAATACTCACCCTAGATACGGAACAAATCAGACTAACTCCAGGGTAGATAAAACAGTTTTGAGTGGTGGATGATGCATACACTTAATTAGGTTTTAGAAAAGACAAAATGCAACAGCACCCCAAAATTATAATAGAAATATAATTTATTGTCAGTTTATGTCTAGGAAATCTAGTGACAGAAATACAGCATGTCTAATGTAATACTGTTATTTGTATATGCCATGATTATAAGCTTAACAGTTTCATGCTGCTGCAACCTTTTTGTTTGTTACCTGAATTACACAGAGGAATTAATGGAATTATTCAACTGTCTGAAAGAATGCTAGAGAGATTTTCAGCTGAGTTTCCTAACTGAAAGAGCATTTGCTAAATCTAGTTAGAATTGAGCATAGCCATGAACATACTGAAATGCCATCAGTTTGCAATACTTCTCTTTCAAAACCCCTCCAGAGGTAAAAATAGTTGCGACTTTGAATGCCTTACAGACTCCTTGTTTCCATATGCCTAATTCCTCTAGAGCTGGAGGCTGCATGTCATGAAGTAATTAAGATTATTTCAGACTAGATTGACATTGCCAATGCAAATAAAGAGAATATACTCAGATGAAAAGGCAGTACTGATAAGGTTCTAAAAAGTGGAAACCATAGGGAGCATCTTGAAAAATCATGGTGTAAAAGAGGGTGATTTCAGATCAGGTTTATGTGTGTATTTGTGCACGGTAAGGATTTTCAAACAATGGCTAATGTAATCTCATGGGTAGACATAGTTACAAACCCCAAAATCCTGGGAGAACAAGAACTGGTCATTTAGTTCTTTCCTTTAGCGTATGGCAGAGCTGGAGAATAAAGAAACAAATCCTTTAAAGGCTATGCAGAATTTTTTGTCTCCGTGAGAAAGATTGAGGAAAAAATTCTCCAACTTTCTGAGACAGTGTTGTAGGGGCACTCTTTGTATTGGCTGGTGCCCATAAAGCACCATCCAGTTGTTATTTATAACAAGTTATCAAAACTAGTAAAAAGTCCTAAGGAAATGTGCACTAACAGAATTCTATTTATTTATTTATAAATGTTGTGAAACAAGATATTGTCATCTCAAGTAATATCCTGCATTGTAGCATCAGTAAACTTAGTGTCAGGTCATTTCTGTAGGCTTCTTATAAATTTGTGGGGGTGAAAACATATAAAGACACATTTCTATCTATCTATACATATGCGTACATAAGTATGTATGTGTATATTTTCTTGGGGGAGACAAGGACATGAGAAATTGTTATAGCAACATTGCAATGTAAAACTTCCCGAATTTACTTATTAGAAGCCTGGTCAGACTGATCATATAGTTACACTGCAAGCTAGACACTGAACCACAGTCTTTTTGGCTGCGGGCACTGTCAGCATAGTAAGAACAGATGGAGCAGATGTAGCTGTAAAACCACTCCGAGTGCTTTTGCCAAGGTGCTACTTGCAGATGAGAGCCTGGTTCTGGGATGGCCAGGAAGGAGAACTTCTTCCCTTTGTTTTACTGGGGTGGTTTTAAGTAATTTGTAAACTGGAGGAGTACAAATTTTTCAGAATAGCAGGTGCTGTAGACTTCACAGAGAGTGGCCAGAGCCAGCAGCAAACGGGAATGAAGATAAAGAAGCTGGCAGACAAATCTTCGTATATTGATTTTCGCCTGCCAGAATGTATACTGGATGAGGCTGGCGACCTGCTGACTCTGTCCTCTCCTAAAGACTGCTGGAACATTCAGATTATGAGGCCTGTGAAGCAGCAAACAGAGAAAGCCTGATTCTTATCTATAAAGTCATTCTGATTTTAACTGATAATCACATATGCAGAGATTGTTATTCCTTAGACCATAATATGGGCTAAGGAGTTGCTTACTTTTCATTGTCTTTTTGGATGAAGATTATCGTTGACGCTACAGTTCAGATAATGATGTTGTCTTTCTAATTAGCTGCTCAGGATTGCAGTTTTTCCCTGTATGTGACCGTAAAATTTCCATTAATTCAAATGGGAAAAGATTACGTTTATTGTAGAGAGAACAGAGTTCATGGCTTTTGGCTTGTTATTGTACCCTGCTGCCAAGGACCAAGGTAACCATTCTGGTCCAGAGCTTTTATTTGTGGTTTAGTCAGTCAAGACACAACGTCTTAATGGGACTTTTTCAGAATGAATATTTTCAGTTGACTGAAGAGAAGCTGAAGAATTCTGTCTTGATTTCAGTTTTATTGACAGATCTGGTCTATGTCTTCGAGAACACAAGGGAAATTCCTCACAAACCAGAGATTTTTGTGAGTAATCATGAATGGGAGCTTATAATTTTTATAAGCTTTTTTTAAAATTTATTTTCTTTTTTATTGAGGTATCCCAGTTTAAATTCTCCTGCTTTAGAAATTAACATATTAAACTGGGGGATTGTGAAACAGTATGTGCTTATTTAGTGTGTCTTAAGGTTCTGTCAATATACAAGGGCTGTAGTCAGAATGTGAAGGCCACTTAGGTTTCATTAGGTGTCATTATCTTCTTAACAAGTTAAGTAAACTATCCAATTCCTGTTAATTCATCTGTGTAGTATATAAGGAATAACCGAGTGATTCAGAACCATTATTTAATTCACATAGTTAGGGAAGTTTTTGAGTTAGGTCCTGAACTGCAAAATGGTAAAGGTAACCTGGTCCCATGGATTGCTATTGAAATTAATGCAAAGCTAACATTGACCTCCACAGGGACAGGCTACCTGTGATTAATGGGTTTAATTAGGCTTCACTGGCTTTCCTGTCTGCTCTAGGGGTCGTCTTTTCTTCTTAGTTCTAAGTGTTTAAAGTCCTGAATAATACTCACATGTCATCTTCCACACAGGCTTTTAAACAGCCTTTGTAAAACAAATTGTCAGCCATGTGCATTCTCATTCTGTTCAGCAATTTCCCTCAGGTCAGGTGGTAAAACATGTGCTTCCTTTTAAGAATAAAAGCTGATTCACTACGCTCAATTAGGAAGCATAGATGAGAAGTCTTCAAACAGTTTCTGTTTTGGTGGGTTAAAGCAGCAGAGGAAGAGATCCATGCTTGGTGTATGTGTCTGCTTTACACCATCAATAACTATGTATTGATGAGAGCAACCTGTGTTATATTCTCAAGTTGTTTTATTGCACAGGTATGATTACATGATTCTTTCTCAACACCCATGGATGTTCTCTACTCTAAAAGTGAGTTCTTTCTTACTTTACTACTGTAGACATGATTAAATACCAATGGTGTTTTGTTAATAAAAGGTGTTGTTTTTAAAGGGTCATCTAAGTGAAATAGTTAAAAATTGCGTGCTGACATAGCTGAGATTAGTAGGCCTCTTGTTAGGAAAAGTGCTGTGATGCTGAATGAACCTACTTGTACTTTAGAACTCTCTCCTTGTAACTGTTTTTGAATAGTCTATCTGGTCAGAAAAGTCAGGTTTCTCTTTATGTCCAGAGATGCTGCCCAACCTAAGAGGAGTATATCCTTTTACCACGATTAATAGTTGCAGTATCTTGTTCTAAAGAAGCTTTCTTTTTCACCGAGATAAAACTATGTTGCGTTGGAGACCAGAAATTGGACCAGCGTGTTTTAGTTTCAGCAGTGTCTCCTAATCAAACCTCTGTCACAGAAATAAGGATATTTTCTGAATTGTACACTAAAAGTTTTGTTACCTTATAACGAATAAGAAATCTATGTGTGTGCTGCAGTTTCAGTACATCCTGTGCTTTTCAATTTAGGTATAAATCGTATGCAAATTATACTCCTGTTGCTGGACCTTTAGGATGGCAGGGGTATCCTTCATCAGTATTGGGGAAGTGGTGTAATGAAACAAGTATTTCATCCTGGTATCTAGTATGAACAGCTGTCTCTTCTGCTCTAATTCTATACTAAATGACTCCAAATCATTTGACTGTAGTTGAATCATCTTTTGAGCTTGCATTTCTCTTTAAAGATGTCTGTCTAATATTTAGTGTCCTGCACAGGAAGTGGCCTGTAAGAGAAGGTAATTCCTCGGCAGGAATATCTAAGTGATGTTACCATAGGCCCATTTGCTTACTAATTTCTGAGAAGGGGGTTGTGGCAGCTTTTCATGCATGGGGCTCTGCGGTATCCATAAAGTCAGAGAGATTCTGTAGGTGGAAGAAACATGTAAGACACTGAGGGAACCACAATGGCAAATCAGGGTGATGCTGGTGGGGAATAGAGCTGGGGCAGATGGCTCCCTGTGTACGAGGGCTGCTTGGTCAACTGGTAGTCACCCAGCAGTGCTCGGCGTACTGGGTGAAACTCAGCGCTGTTGATCTGCTTGACTTTGTGTGATTGTAAGGCAACTCATAAAAGATCTTCTGTGAAAGCACAAAGAACTGCAAAAACTTGAAGCATAGGGATATTAAGGTCCATCTGAAAAAAATTTGGGATTTATTCTTTTCTCTCTAGAAGTTTTTTCTTTTCGAACATGATGCAAAAAATTCTTGTAGGGAATATTTCTTTGGTGTAGAAGAGAACTGTACCAAGATGAGAAATAATTATATTGTGAGTAGATGATAACAGAAAGTTAGTGTTTAATAACATCAGAACATAATGGTTAGTGACCGGCAGTTTAAAACAAGTTTTCAAAGTCGGCATGATTGACCCTGTGATGATATGTGGCAGCATCTGGAAATCACCTTAGAGCAAGATTTGATGAGAATTGATTGTAGCAGCATCATTGCAAGTTTGTTATCTGATGGGTGCTAACTCATGGCAGGTGTTTGTTTATCTTGATTAGATAATGCTGCAAAGGCTTTTATGTGGCTGGAGAAAGCAGAAGATTGTTTTGTCGCAAGAAGTGTATGCTGGTGTATGCTGACAGGGGATGTGTCAGAGCTAGTTAAAAGAGAAGGAAAGTTTTGTATTTTGATACATTTTAAGGAGAAGAAAGGAATAAATTTGGAAGTTACATTGATTGGATGGTTTTGGGTTTTTTTTGTCCATGTTTTCATCTTAGGTTTAAACTACTGATGTGTTTAGTGCATGCATCAAATCCAGTAATACTGTCATATATTTCAGTGAATGTTTAGCAGGTATACTTGTGGAGGGGGTTCATATGCATACATTAATGTTACGAGGACCATGGTAAAAGAACTTGCTAATAGAGCCAGAGAGATGGAAAGAGTTGAGGGAAAGTGGACAAGTAAAATAACAATTTTCTTGTGTATTTTTAGCTTCCTTCTTAAAGGTTTATATACTTATATCCTCTTGGAAAATATGAATCTGACATGGTGAACGATAGGAAATGATGAAGGATATTCTGCAGACTAATGGAAGTCTACTTTCAAATCAAGATTCTGGCATGGTAGTTGTTAGTTGTATTACAACTGAAAGTTGCTGGCCATATTGCACTGCACTAGCTGTTCCAGTGTGTTTATATACCATAGTTTAAGTAACTGTCTTTTGATGGATAGAGGCTAATTAGGTAAGAAGTATTCCTACCTATCTCTTACTAGATAACCACATTGTCTCAGAAATCGAAACACAGAGTTTTATTTCAAAGAAAAATGTTATTTTCCCTTAAATAGAGGTTAAAAACTGAACCTGTAAAAATAGAGATCTATTTAGATTATAAAACTCCTATCACTTTGTTTTTTTAAGAACATAAATGAAGCTGTAGAGCTGCACTTTATTTTTGCATAAATTGCAATGATCACAGTTGTTCATTTACTAACTGCAGCCGCTAGCCAGAGAGGTCTTTAAAAAACTAAAAATTTGAGTATTTCGGAGTATCCCATGTACTCTGTAACTGTAATTAAAAATGAAGGCTTTTGAATTAGTTCTTTAGGCAGAGGTTTTTTCTATGTTTATGAAGTACAGAGGGGTAAAATTTGGTGAAATTTGATTCATAAATATATTGGTATTTCTGTAAATGTTTATGTCGTTATAAAACACTTATTAAAGTAGCAGCTAGGCTGTTTTATGAGTATTTGAGGCTAGAAGAATGACTCCCATCAGCCTCCTTGGGATTTTTTTTTCCTGAGAAAATATCTCTTAGAAAATGTAATGGTACTTCAACCTACATTACTTGTGGAAGTATTGCCTGTTTATGCCTGCTTGCTCGCTCCCTCCATTGCAGTGTCACACACATACAGAAAAAACACTTCTCTTTATTAATTCAACTACGACACCGCATTTGTCTTAAGTCTTATTTTCCAATCTCATTATATTCATGTGCTGAATGATATCAGCTGTGAATTCCTGATAATTCATTCTGTGTGCCACCCATAGAAAGCAAAGAACAGCTTCTCCTGAACAATATCACAGAAAAATAAAGCAGAAAAACTCCAGAAACAGATATGGTTAACCACATGCTAACCACAGGTTTTCTCAGGCAGTCAGTTTGTAAAAGTAAGATTTAAAGGAATGTGTAATTTTTTCCTCTGATTGCAGCTGTGTGCAAATCTAATGCTTACAATGTCCGTGGAATAAAGTGTTGAGATTCCTACCAGATATATCCCTTTGTGCCCTCTAGGAATATGTTTGAAGAATGTATTAAAATGCAGTATCTTAGCAGACTTCATAGGAAATAGAAAGCAATGGAGTTACTTTGCTACAGGCCATGTTTGTTGCAACACCAGGAAGACATACTAATGGTGATCTTTGGAATCTCAGGTTGACATAAGAACTAAAAGAACCAAACTATAGAAACCAGATTCCCCTGTGTTGTAAACTGGCATAACCCGAATGGCCAAGGGCAAAAAGCATACAAGTGGGTGATGAGATTTAAAAAGAAATGGTGGGATATGCCAAAGAGCTGTCAAAATGGTCTAGAGCTAAAGATCAGAGGGGCAGAACGGTCCTGCTTCGTTCACTGGTGTGCTTTCTGGTTTTGTCAGCCAAGGCCTTTATGAACAAGTGGGGCCCTTGGCAGAATGCTTCGGATGTCAGTGATGCTGCCGAGTTGAGCTGGGTTATCTTTTACAAGTCCTTCCAGCTTTGCTGTGGTTCTTTGGTACTTTAAAATAAAAACAAACCCCCAAAGCCCCAGCTATTTCCCCTCAGTTTGATAGCACCCTTGCAGCCACTGCTCTCTCATGACTTCAGACGATAGTCTTGTGCTTTCTTATTTTAACTTGATGCTTTCCGTTTCCAGGATGAATTGATTGGTTTAGCCAGTGTTTTGTTTGTGGAGCAGCAATTAATGTTATGGGTTCTTTGTTTGGGAAGTTGAATTATTGCTTCATAATAAATAGACCTATATCCCAAACAAAACCTGGATCTGAAAGCCCCCTAATTTTGAGGAGTTTTGTGAACAGGTTCTGTTCTCAGATTAGCTACTTTGTTATTAGAGGTAATCAAATACTTCAGCTTCAGAATTATTACTATTTTTCCCTTTTTAATCCACAAGTAAGGACATTATAACCTTTCTGACTGATACAGTTTCTTCTGTGTATCTCCCCATATGTGTTGTCCATTCACTTCCTACCAGGTATGCTTGTCTTGTATTTCTGTGCAGACTAAGAAAGTGAAGTCCCCAGCAGAGTCTGGATTACAGCAGATGTAGCTTGTGACCTCAGAGGTACCTTTAGATACCTCAAATATCAGCAATCAAAATCTTGACCCATCTTCTCCAGAGAGTGAAACATAATAGCAGTCACGAAGACTAATCTTCAACTGGGACATTTGGTTCTTCCTACAGTTAGCAGGGACTGAGGACTTCATAGTGACAAAAACTAGCTCCTAAGTCATCCCAGAAGAGACGATACCTGCGATAATTGCAAGATGTCCCAGAATTTATTTTTCATTTTCCCCCTCTTATAGTCTTTCCATAATCAATGACTATATTTATTATTTATTAATAGAGGCTTCCTCTGAGCACAATAATATAAGAACTGTACTGGGCAAACCCAAAGATCACCTAGTCCCCAGAATTCTGTCTCCATACACAGTGACCAAGGAAGACATGTTGTCATGGTGAGGTGGGGAGCTCTAATCTATATCCTGTACTGAAAGGTTGCAGGCCCTAAAATGAGTTTAAATCAAATTGGCTTGTGTCTTCCCTGTTAATTGATCATGGAAAACCATGCTGCCATAGTTCATATAACAATGAATATAGTTTATGGCTTTAAAAAATGTGAGAACTACTTGAAATGTCACCATACCAAGATATTTTGTCTGCTGTGTTTATTATTTAGTTACTGATTCAAGATTTTGCATATGGTTTAGATCATTAAATTCAAATAAGGCTTAAATATACCTAATGGCTGGCTAAATTGGTTATATGGTATTTATGTCAATAAAGAGTAAAATTGTATTACAGAACAACATGAGTAGGCTGAGAAAGCTCAAATCGTCAATATGCTGAAAATTACTCAAAGAAAGCAATTAAAACTCAAATCCATAACTAAATTGCTGTTGGTTCTAAGTACAGTGGATCCAATTACACATTATATTATAGTGTACTTATGATCATGGGTGCTGTAACAGACTGTCTTGTCAATATACTGTCAATAGAGAATTAGAAAAACAAATTATCATCGCACTGAAATAATATGGAAATTTCAAGCAGCATTCCTCCAAGCCATTAAATGGCCAGAAAATCTGCATATGAACTAATGTTACAGCCTGCAATTTTATATTTTGCCTTCATTACAGAAATGTATATAAACTCATAAACCACAAGTTCTGATTGCACCCCACTGTAAATGAAGGTATGAAAGAATACAGAAGAGAATATTAGTAAGAAGTTTGGTAGAGATTAGAATTAACTTAATATTAACTTAGTACATAAAACTTAGATTCAGGGTCTTGCAGAAGGATATTTATATTGTTTAGTATAGCTACAATCCTGATATACCTCTATTCCTGAGGCCTGGTAGCAGAAGAAAAACATTTACTGCTGGTGCAAAACTGAATCTTGGATCACAACGGATAAATTTTGGCGTTTGATTGTACTCTGCCCATACCAAGGTACCTGCACAGTACATATTGCCAATCTTGCATAGAGCAGGGCTGACAACTAGACAGTGATTCTTCTCTTTCAGTAAAACATAAACCCCATTGCCATCAGAGTCCTTTTACACATTTAGGGTGCTTGAGCTTTTCATGGTTGGAAATTATATTAAATACTGGAATCTGAAGTGAATGATCTAAAATTCCCTTCTTGACTAAATATCAGGGCTGTTACTAGCTTTGCTGACATGATAGGCTCTATTTTTAGCTTTATCTTCTCTTACAATCCATACTTCAGTTTGGTATCTTGAAGTTTTTATGGGTTTTGTGTTTGTTTATTTGGATCCCACCCCCCTGTGCTTTACACCCCCAGACTTTCACTTATGGTCATTCCCATGAAAGCTAAGTTCCATATTAGCAGTGGTACCATGCAAATCAGTGATTGCAGTGAAGGGAATTTCATTTCATAAATGTAAACTGTAAAGCTTATTATAAATAATGATGTGACTACAGCTTTTATATACTGAAACTCTGAAAGCAGCATGAAACACAGCTGTTTGTCATATTTCTGTAAATCTTGAGGACATAGAACATAATCCACTAAAATTAGCATTTGATACATATTTTTTGTTATTAATATTTTATGGATTATGGCACCAAAAGCAAAAGAGAAGGTCCATAGAGCAAAACCTTTAGGTAAGCCCCCAGTCATCTCTTAATTGATTTATAGATTTTTCTTAATGAAAATTTAGTAAAGCTTATATTGTGATTGTATCCAAGCATAGCAGGATATGAAAGGATAGAATCTGCAAGAATTCCATGCAATATCCAAACAAATGATTCTGAAAATCAGATATCAAATCATCAAATGGTTTGGGTTGGAAGGGACTGTAAAGAACATTTCGTTC